TTTCCCACTTCGCAGGCCACATGGTCTCTGTTGCAAACAGTGAACTTGCTCTTGTGGAGTAATGACAGCTACAGACAGTATGTAAATGGTGAGGGTGGCCATGTTCCAATAAAACTTTATTAACAAAAATGGGTACAGAGCTGGATTGGGTGCACGGGCCATCGCTGGCTGACCCCTGTTCTGATGCCTGTCCCAGGGATACTTCGTGCTGACAGTGCTTGAGTTATAGACTTTCAGACATCTTCTTTGCTGGCACACTCGTGAACCTAAATGTCGTGTCTGCGTGCTCATGTAAAACTAGGTATGTATGTACATGAACATACCTCTCTGTTTCCTTCTTTTTCAAAGGAATCATCAGTGAGGTATAATTTCTTAGCCATTAATTTGGCAAAGGGCATGATGTGAGGAAACAAGAAGTTTCATACATTGCTATGTATAGAAATGCTACCTAGAAACAACATTTTAAGCAGGAATGTTTATATTTGCAAAAGCTGATAGAAACCTAAGGGGCCATCAAACAAGGCTTATTTAAACACCTGCGTTGGAGATATACAGTGGAATATTGTGTGTGTGTTAAAGAAACAGAGCGTCCTGCTGTGGAGAGAAGTCCATGGTATATTAGTAAAAGATAAAGCTGCAAAACATTAACAAATAGTTTGAAAAGCAATTTTCTATCAGGAAAGTAATTGGACATATCTGGTTTTACTCAAAATATATTTTGAAACCTACTCTATCTAGCTTAAGCTATGTAAGACATTGGGAGGGACTTATTTCACCCACTGATAGGATATATTTGATTCTGAAGAGATTTAGTAATTTTTTGCATATATTTTATTCATTATGCTATTACAGTTGCCTATTGCCCGCCCCCCTTTATTCCCCCAGCCCTGCACCCCCCCACACACTTCCCCCGCCATTAGTTTATGCCCACGGGTCGTACGTATAAGTTCTTGGGCTTGTATATTTCCTATACTATTCTTACCCTCCCCCTGTCTATTTTCTACCTGTCATTTATGCTACTTATTCCCTGTGCCTTTTCCCCCATTCTCCCCTCTACCTACTGATAACCTTCCACGTGATCTCCATTTCTGTGAATCTGTTCTTGTTCTAGTTGTTTGCTTAGGTTGTCTTGGTTTTTTTTTTTAGGTTTGGCTATTGATCATTATGTTGGGTTTGTTGACATTTTATTGTTCATATTTTTTATCTTTTTCTTAGATAAGTCCCTTTAACATTTCATATAATAAAAGTTGGGTGATGATGAACTCCTTTAATTTGACCTAATCTGGGAAGCACTTTATCTGCCCTTCCATTCTAGATGAAAGCTTTGCTGGATAGAGTAATCTTGGATGTAGGTCCTTGCCTTTCATGACTTGGAATACTTCTCTCCAGACCCTTCTTGCCTGTAAGGTTTCTTCTAAGCAATCAGCTGACAGTCTTATGGGAACTCCTTTGTAGGTAACTGATTCCTCTTTAATCTTGTGTAACGTAATTATGATGTGCCTTGGTGTGTTCCTCCTTGGGTCCAACTCCTTTGGGACTCTGAGCTTCCTGGTCTTCCTGGAAATAAATTTACTTTGCCAGTTTGGGGAAGTTCTCCTTCATTATTTTTTCCAGTAAGTTTTCAATTTCTTGCTCTTCTTCTTCTCCTTCTGGTACCCCTATGATTTAGATGTTGGAGCATTTAAAGTTGTCCCAGAGGTCCCTAAGCCTCTCATTTTTTTTGAAGTCTTGCTTCTTCATTCTGTTCTGGTTGAATGTTTCTTTCTTCCTTCTGGTCTAAACCATTGATCTGAGTCCTGGTTTCCTTCCCTTCAGCATTGGTTTCCCTTTACTTCACTTAGCATAGCCTTCACTTCTTCTTCTTCTATTTTTCAACTATACTCAACCAATTTTGTGAGCATCCTATCACCAGTGTTTTGAACTGTGCATCTGATAGGCTGGCTGTCTCTTCATTGCTTCGTTGTATTTTTTCTGGAGCTTTAATCTGTTCTTTCATTTGGGCCATTTTTTGGTCTCCTTGAACCTGTTACATAGTGAGGGGCAGAGGTATTCGCCAGTGTGGGCAACCCACATGGCTGCGTTGTGACGCTGTATGTGGGGGAGGGTCCGAGAGGGAACAGTGCTGCTTGCTGGGCTCTCAGCTGGCTTTCAGTCACTTCCCCACTTCCCACAAGCAAAGTGGGCCCTCTGGTGCTGACTCCCAGGTGCGTGGGCTTGTTCGAGGACCCTGTGGGTCTCTCCAACGAACTCTCCTGTGAGGCTGGGAGTTCCTCCTGCTGCTGCCGCAACCCCCACAGGTGTTTTCAGTCAGAGGTTTGAGGCTTTATTTCCGGTGCTGGAGCCCTGGGCTGTGCGGTCTGTTTCAACCCCGTTGTTCCTCCTGGTTCATCTGCACGTGAGTGTGTGACTGCCCGCTCTTCTAGCCGCCACCACGCTGTGAGCCCTCTCCACCCTCGGCCCATCTCTGCCCCTCCTACCGGTCTGGATGAATGTGTCTTCTTTAATTCCTTGGTTGTTGGACTTCCATACAGTTCGATTTTCTGTCAGTCCTAATTGTTTTTTGTTTTTAAATTTGTTTTCCTTCTTTTGGTAGTGCGAGGAGGTACAGTGTATCCACCTACACCTCCATCTGGGGATTGAGTAATTTTTTAATACATGCATTTTCAAAGTAGTGTGTGACTGCAATGCATTTTGCTTCTGAAAGCTTTAGAATATATTTTGCTGAACAACATTGTTGCAATCACCTGGAAATGCTACCTCACATTGTTCAAGGGAACCTGCTATCCAGGTGGAATTGCAATTCAGTCCAGCTGGATATGGCAGCTTTTACAAAACTGCCGTTAGCAGAAATGGAAGGAGAGCTGTGGAAATACGCACTGTGCAGAGGAGCCCCGTGGTTGCCTGGCCACAGCCTCCCAGGCTCACCCGTGGGCACACTTTAGGAGATCTGCGAGGGGTCGGCAATGCATTTGGTTGTGACAACCGAAAGCTGCATTGCCTAAATGACAGAATTAGAAATAACGTAAAAGGATTGTCATATTTTTAATGCGAGGACAGAGGCAAATTCTCAGTTTTGATGTCTATTTTGAGGACTTAAAATAAGGCTTTTAGTCAATGCATTATATATCAAATTGATAATGTTAACTCGATTATTCGCATTAATAAAATATTCATAGGGAAATGTCCAAAGTTTCCATCTCTCTGAACCTCCCCCCCGAAGGTAATGGCCGTGCCTGGAAGCCTTTCAGCAGAAGCCGCAGCCGTCAGGCTGACACACGCTGACAGGCAGGCCAGGCCCCATCACGCGGGCACACTCAGCGGCACTTTGATGCCCTGGAAACGAGGGGAGACAGGGACGCACTGGGTAGCACATTATGCTAATGGCTCGATTTAATCCAGCCACTAAACTTTATGTAGCCTGTTAAAATAGATGCTAACACAAATTACGCCACTTTGGAAAGGAAAGGAGGGGACAAGCATTTTATTCTGACAAAGTGAAGCTCATAAATGTTGTAAATGAAATGAAACAAAATGAAGTAATCTGTGATTAATTATACATCACAGACAGGAAGAAGAGAGGAAAAGCCAAGTAATATGTCTAAGTCCTGGGAAATCTGTTAGATTCCTTCTAAGGATCCACATTTCTCAGAAATAACTATGAGCTATCAGATTCTGTAACATTAAAAAAACCCTGGATGATCTTAAATAGCTTACACAGTGCAGTAGATCATTCACGGTCACAGTGTAATTGGCATGGATGACATTTATCTTGCACGCTACCTCCGTTCTCACTTCTGTGATATTGTTAGGGTAGAGGCAATGCAAAAAATCTGTGAAGTGGGGCAATGGCAGAGCAGGGTTATCTGGGAACTTTTCCACTGGTCTCTCTGCCTCTAATCTAGGCTCTACATTCCTGAAAGCACGATCTTTTGAAATGCCATTCCCGAGTGTAAATGCCACAGGAGCAAAAGACTGACTTCTCTTATTCTCTGAGATGTTCCCAATCTCGAGAATAAGGCTTGGAACACAGTAAATGCTCATTAAATACCTAAAGAATGAGCGTTCCCCCTCCCTTAAAAGTCCTCGCTGGCTGCCCCTGGAATTTCAGGAGAGACTTCAGCCACCTCGATGGAGAGGCCCCCGCGCTCTGGACATGGCTGACTTCTCAGTGTGTTCTGGCGCTCCCTGGTGTGTGTGCCGTAAGGCTCTGCCCAGCCTGAAGCCGCACTGCAGTCCCAGAACAAGCCGTTCTCCACGTTCTCTCTAACTCTCATGCTCTTGTTCCTTTGGCCTCTGATGACCCCTCCTGGGCTCTCACTAACTCCTCCCAATCATCTTCAACACCTGGTACCAGCTTCACCACCTCTACAAAGACCCTTGAGTGGAGTTAGGAGCCCCCCTGGAGTGCGCCCTTAACACCCTGCACCCCGTGCTCCTAGTGCTGACCACTGCGCACTGTAACTGTGTTTCCTTTACAGACCGTGAGTTCTTTGGGGATTGCTTCTGATTTGACACAGCGGGTGCTAATGAATGAGGAATTGCTGTGAGCAGGAACAACGTAACTTTAACAGTTTGTCAGCAGACATAATTATATACGAAGAGTCTGTAAGTTCACATTTACACATGATTGGAGTTTTAACAGCCATCTCACATTCTGAATTCTTTAAAGTTCAGACCTGATTTAATACATTCTCGTCCAATGGTTCTGAGAAGGAGTCAGGGAGGTCAACTGCTTTTAGCAAGTCCCTTTTGAAGGTGCTGAATGTTAGGTGCTCTCAACACGTAGGCAAAATAATGCCTAGCTGTTCTGGCCCCTTACACGATGAACTATAAACAGAATTTTCTTATACTAGATGGTTACTTGCAAAAGAGTATGCTAAGGTATTTAATTACTTCTAGAAATATTTTTGCCTTAACACGTTCACCTACGAAGATGGATGCACTACGAATGCAAAGCAACTTGATTTCAGACCATTTCTAACTGGTGTCATGTCACTGACCTGCTTGGGGACAGGGCCGGGAATGATGCACTCGTCACTGTCGGAAGCTGATCTGTTTTCCTCATCTGTTAAAAAATGAAATTTTAATAGTTTAAATCTGCTAAACCAGTTATATTTACACCTTGTAAAATGGTGAGACATAAGCACACGTTATAAGGATAACCTTAAAAGAACATGATAATCATATCTAAAACTTTTTAGCAGCATATATGTTTATATTTACATTACTTTTTAGAAAAGAGAAAGAAATGACTGAAAAATTCCAAGTTTAGCTTTAGTACAAAGGAAAAAATGTTCATTGTGCTGCTATGAACTTAAAAAATAATTTTTAAAACAGGACAGAGCAATAGTTTTCCAACAGTCTACTCAATACTGTTGTATAAGAATCAAGTATTCTCACTATTTATAAATATTACTAAGTTTTACAGCTTTACTGTGGTAAAACTGACATCCAGAAAACCACACACATTTAAAGTGCGAAGTTTGCTATTCTGACATATGTAATTCCATGAAAGCATCGTAACAATTAAGGTGATGAACGTACCCATCGTCCCCTAAACGTTCCTCACGCCCATCTTCCCTTCTCACCTCTCTTCCCACCTGCCCTCCCCAGGCAACAGCTTAAATGCTTTCTGTTACCAAAGATTAAGTTCCCTTTTCTACACATTTATATAAGGGAAAGCATGTTGTAAGTTGTTTTTTGTCTGAGTGCTTGGTTTTAATTTTTGCAAACCGAAGTCCTCCAGAATAATCGAGATGACAGCACTGAACCCAAAGAGAATCTAAGGCCACTTAACACCCAAACTGGGAACAGGGCCGGTGATAACACTTGCATTCCGTTGTGGCGCCCCAAGTGGACGTGAGAAGATGTGCAACACTTCCACCTGATCACAGCCAACCAGACCGACCTACATCCATCATTTCTGTTGAGAAGCAGGTATCATGAAGTAACTCTGTGACTCAATGAACATGTTCTACGAGGCATACTATTAAGTCAAGCTAAGAGTTAAGCAAATAACGTCAATTTTAAAAAGAAAGCCACCTTCCGGTTCCAGTTCCTCGGTTACTTCTGTTTCATCTTCGGAGGAAGTCAGGCTGCGCTCTGCCAGTTGGCCCTGGGACAGGAAGGACACGTCACTGCTCCTCCCTCGTTGCGTCTGCTCAGCACCCTCCCTTGCTCCGTCGGCACCGCTGTCTGGGGAAACCTGAGGAGGGGGGAGCACACTGGCTGTTAGCTCTGTCTAGGTCACATTTGTAGCATTTTAGCTTAAATACTTGAATAATAAAGCATGTAAACCTGAGACATAAATATACATACATGCAATACATATAATTCAGTCAAAAATAATCGCTTAAATTGTACGAAACTAAAGAAAATATGGAAATAAATAAGAATCTAGTAATAAAGAATGGAAAAGTAGATTAATTCCAAAATAAATTTTACATGAACTCATATGTATTTGATATTATGCTAATATAGTATAATTGTAGCTGTTACACTTGTCATACTTTTGATTTTTCTATTCCAAGAGAGTCATATACGAAACTAAGATCAATGCTATGATTTCCTGATCTATGTCTATACACAAAGTCTTTAAGAACCAAATCGAATCTTTTGAAATAATGTTAATACAGATGCATACCTCAGACATGTGTGAAACCGTGGGCGTGCTCATATCTGCTTCCGGTGTGTGCTCCACCACGTCCTTCCCATCCGCAGGGGCAGCAGGTAGCTCCTTATATCAATGTGAGAACACGCAGGCCTGTTATTCTGAATTGTTACTAAAGCCAAAGTCACCCTAACACTTTTACACATTCATATGTGTGTATGCTACATATATAATAAATAGCACTAATAAAAACTGGGACCAAATACAGCAGCTGCCCGTGGCACAATGAGAAGTCCAGTTTAAGAACTGCCAGGGTCTTCCACTGAAGCCTTGCTCATAACTCAGAAAAGTGAAAGCAATGCAGGTGTCCACTGGGGCAGGAATCACACCAAATACGCCACATCTGAGTACCGGTGTCTGCGTGACCACGAGACCTAGTAATGCAGATTTGTAGTTACAGACGCTGAAGAGAATATACAGTAAGTTGAGTGAGAAAACTATTATGCAAACATAGACACAGTTGTATACTGTTTTGTTTATCACTTCAACTATTAACTATAGTGAACTATGGTTCACTATAGTTTATCACTTTCACTATTTTAAAAGGAAACATGCCCAATACAGAAAATGGGAAAGTGAAACAAGAAAACATAAAATTAATGAATATAAACCTACATTCCCATTATTCAATGATAATAGGTATTAATACCTAAATTTCTATTTCCTCATAATTGATTTTTATGCAAATAAAAATTTTTAGTTATATAGTGATGATTATAGTATAAATATAATATATACTTTTACATTAAAAACACTTAACATTGTAACACAAAATTTTCTCCTGATATGAAACTTTGGATAAACATCATTTTTTTTAAGCAAAAAAAACCAAAACAAACCCGAATCACTTTATTAGAGGAATGAAATATAGAGTAGACATAATCCTCTGAAGTATATGATGTCAAGAGCTACAGGATTCTTCCTTATCCGCTGACTGGTTTTTGCCGTGATACCGGACTGCAATATTCTAGGGAGGGTCGCTGTTACAGACAGGAACACTGAGCTTCGGCACTTGGCATGTACAGTACTCTCCATTGTGTTGTGCCTTCACTGAACCTCACAACAACCACAAGAGAATTTGCATCGCCACTTTTTTTAAGAGAAAACAAACTCAGTGACAACATATTACACTGAGTGGATGCATCATGATTTAACAAACATTTTACTAGTGTTGGACATTTAACTAGATTGTCAGCTGCTGCGGCTAATGTTGCAAAAAACATCTCTATGTACATGTTTTTTTTATATCAATGATCATTTACTTAGGGATCAGGCTACTTGTGTTTGAATCCCAGATCAAACACTTTGACCTTGAGAAAGCTGCTTAATCTCTGTAGACATTACTTTCCTGACCTGTAAGTGGGAATAATTCCAGTATGAACAGCATGAAGTTGTCGTGAGAATTACAGGAGTTCAGTGATTATGAGGCATTAGGTCAGTGGCTGACGCACAGTAAGCACTCAGTAAATGCTGGCTGTGAAACAGTGCCTAAATGATGACCGCGTTCATTTATTTAGAACATAGCTATTAAATGTCTATATATGTCAGATATTATTTTAAGCCCCGGGGAGAGGGAATATTTTGATCTGGGTGGTGTTTACACGGGTCTATACATACGTTAAAATTCATTGAGCTGTGTGTTTCAGATTTGTGTCCTTTACAACATAGAAGCTATATTACAAAAGGAGTATTTTCTTAAAGTCTTCAAGAGTGAATGGTGGCCCAAGTGGTAATGGTGGGAGAGGATGTGAACACAAGATACATGTTGAAAGCACAGCTCACAGTTTTGTAGGCGAACTGGATGTGAGACGTGAGAAAAAGGAATCGAAAAGATGCCTCTGAAATCTCACGGCCGCGCCACTGGTGTGTGACAATGTCACTTAGTGAGAATGGGAAAAATAAGAGAGAAACGTTTTGAAAAGTTGGTCAGATCAGGTTTGGGTCTGCTGTGCTAAGCTGAGATTCCTATTAGACATTCAGTGTACATGAAATAAACAGTAAAAAAATAAATGTGGAATTCGGCAGCAAGATCAAGACTGAAGATTGTGAACATGGGAGTGTCAGCAAATAGATGCTTTTTAACAAGAGGGGACTGGATGAGCTCTCCTAACATCAACATAGACTGAGAACAGAAGAGGTGTAGGTTTGAAGTTTGACAGTTAAGGCGCTTCAGCATTGCAGAGACATGGTCTCAGAGAGGGAGAACACCTGGTAAACTTGAAGAAAACTCAGAAGGCCCCAAGGCCAAGAGAAGAGGGAGCAGGTACCCTACCGTGGGGAGCGTTACTGGAAGATGAACACAGGGAGAACTGACCCCTGGATGACCACCGGATGTGGCAGGATGAAGGTCCCTGGGTCTCAGCAAGAGTGGTTTTAATCAGGAAGAAGGGCTGACTAGAGTGGGTTCAAGAAACACTTCAAAAAAGGGTAGACAAAATTAGAACAGTTTTTGAAGAGGTTTTATTTATTTGCTTGTTCGTTTTTTGTAAGCAGAGGGCAAAAGATTAAGGGTAATACCTGGAGGAAGGTATGGGGCTGAAAGGAAGATCAGATCAAAGATCAAGAACAGTTAACACACAGAAGACCGAGTTACAAAGCTAACACTTGAAAGGAGAAAGAAATATTCTCCTTTACCCAACTTTCATTGAAATCAGGTAGGGTGTACCGCATCCCCATCATTTATTTCCAGCATTTGCTATAGGAAAAAAAATCAGTGTTTTGAGTGTTTATTACTTACGGCGTCCTGATGTGGCGGGGCATCGTCCACGAAAGACACCTTCTTCGTGACAGCTGTGAGGCGCTGTCTTGGTTTAGGTGTCGGGGCCTAAGGTAAACCGATATGGCAGACTGATTATTTTGATCGTCCGTTTCAGACAAGACTTCAGCTGTTTTCTCTTTCTGTGGCTGTGATGTTATAAGAAATTCAAAGTCACCGTTACTCACCACAACTACTGTGCTCACAGAGGGTGCTGGAGGTATCCTCTGAACAACTTCCGACTCCTCCTTGTGTATGGCATTTCCTAACTCCTCAGAAGTCAGGGATTTACTTGGTGGAAGGTAAGCAAATTTCCACTTCAATGTAACATGAATGGTTCCTGCCGGGTGCTGTTCATGGTCTGTCAACTCGAATATTCCTATCAGAGCACAAGAAAATACTGCTAATTAATGCTGGAGTGAAGTTTTGTTACCAGGGTAATTAACGAGAACAAATCACAACTTAAAAAATGATTCTGGCTTTTACTCATAACCCAAATGACTTAGAGAATAAAATAAAGACAAAAGGATGCATGATAGGTTCATCTCTCAAGAAGACTGCTTTCAGAAGTTACAGCCTCAAAGATAATGCTGTTTCAAAGTGGAGAAAATTAACTTATAAATATTTTAATCCGCTGAAATGAAATTCAGAGATTATTCAAAATTCTAAGCACTCTTCAAAGACATTACCTGGGGTCTATCTCAAATATCAACCTTCATTTTGATTTAAATATTCTTCAAAAAAACTTGTCTCCATAGAAAAATATATTAAAACTTCAAAATTTTAAATAATTCATATATCTAAAGGAGTCCTTATATTACTATATAACTCTATTATAACTTTAAATATTTTATTGAGATTTGTTAAATTACTCCAAATTAATAGAAGCATAGCAAAAATATGTCCATAAGATAAAGCATCCAAAACACAAAGCAGTAATAAAAAGTATTGCCTACCTACATCTGTAATATTGAGTCACAAATTTTAATCATTATACTAAATTTTTCACTCTGAAAAACCCCTGACTAGAAACAAAGCAAGCCTATGTTTCAAGTCTATCTTTTGTCTAGAGGTGCCCTCCCCTTGGTCTGCAAGAGCACGCCACGTCTCTTAATGGCTGGCTGGGAAAGAAAAGACAAACCACTTGAGACATGAGGCAGGACAAAAGGACACAGGTGGAATACAGGGAGGAGGCAAACTTCTCTAACGGGCACAGGTGAGGCTTCCAGAATGGCTGAGTGAAGAGCTCAGCAAATCCTCTCCGTAAAAGTCAATAATAAAACTGGTCCAAATGATCAAAAAGAACCAGTGAAGGCCTCTGGAAATTGGTCAAAAATGTACAGCAAATTAGGAAGCATTTCTTCAAGGAAATCTATTCAACCTTAGTAAGAACAGTACGAATTAGGACAGACCCCAGTAATCTTTCTGCACAGGAGACTTGTGGACTGTGAACCTTGAGTACAAGCCATTCACTGACCTGCAGGCAAAGGGTGGGCACCTGCCAGCCCAAGGGTTGAAGCACAACCTTTGACCAGCCGCCGGTTGACCACTAACCTATGCTGACCAAGGCTTAAAATTAAAATAAGGATAACATGAGCAAACAAAAACTTAGCAGAAACATCAATGGCTACAGTGAGAGAGAAAGACTACAGAATTAGTCTAGGTAGGTCACCAAACAAACAGGAACAGCAACGATAATCACCCCATAGAGTAAGAAAGTTAGAACCCAGAGTTGGTACAATATAGTATCCACAATGTCCAGTTCTAAGGGAAAAAAGAGGGAGAGAGAGAAGTACAAAGAAAGCAGAGGGTGTGATGTACACACAGGGAAAAAGCCACCAACAGACACTTTCTGTGAGTGTCCAGATATTAGACTTAGCCAACAAAGACCTCAGAGCAGCCATTATAAATATGTTCCAATAACTAAAAGAAACCACATTTAAATAGTTAAAGTGTGGTTACAGTGACTTATAAAACAGAATATAATAAAGATACATGAATTACTAAAAAAAGAACTAAACAGAAATTCTGGGGTTGAAAAGTACAATTACTGAAATGACAGGCCCAGTAGGAGATTGAATCTGGCAGAAGAATCAATGAATTTGAAGACTGACCAGTGGAGATTATCCAATTTGAAGAGAAAAATAAAGAGAAATGAACAGAGCCTCAGAGACATGTAGGACACCATTAAACATATGAACATACATGTAATAGGAGTCCAAGAAGAAAAAAAAGGGCAAAAAATAATTCAAGAAATAATGGCAAAAACTCCCCAAATTTGGTACATAACAATACCCTACACATAAAGAAGCTCAACCAAGTTCAAGCAGGCTAAGCACAAAGAAATCCATACTTAGACACGCCATGGACAAAATACTGAAAGCTAAAAAAAAAAAAAAATCTTGATAACAGCAGCAAGTACCTGGAACTGTAATACCATTGACAGCTGACTTCTCATCAGAAACAATGCATGCCAGAAGTCAGCTGTCTGATGTGCTCAAAGTGCTTTACAAAACCCCCTGCCAGCCAAGAATATTGTATCTAACGAGACCGTCCTTCAAAAAGTAAAAGCAAAATAAAGTCATTCCCAGATCACCATGATGGAGAGAATTCATTTCCAGCAGACCTGACTTACAACGCACATTATAGGAAGTTACTCGGACTAAGAGGAAATGACACCAGAGGGCAACTCGAACTGGCGCAAAGGAACAGGCCAATACAGATAATTACATAGGTCATTGTGAAAGCTAGTATAAATAAATGTTTTTCCTAACTACTTCTCTTAACAGATTTAAAAGACAGTGGCATAAAACAATAATTATAAAGTTATATTGTTGGACTTATAGAGAGACAGAAATATAGGAAAATAATAGTACAAAGGACTGGGAAGAAATGAAGCTATAGTGGAGTAAGGAAGGGATCCCAGAAAGGAAGAAATAAAGAGTATCCGAAGTGGTAGATACATGTTAATGTAAGAGGCTCCAGTACTTAACGTACGTTCCCCCTTCCCTTGGTTTCTTTAGAGGATATGCAATGATTGTACACCATGTTGCTGGGTTTCTAACAGATGCGGACAGACCGTGTGTGCATGTGTGTGTGTGTGTGTGTGTGTGTGTGTAACGACAGACATGGGGGTGTGAAATAACACTATACTGGAGTGGACCTATATTTTAATGGACTTGGTATTAATTTTAATCAGATTGTGTTAAGATAAATGTTGTAATTCCTGGAAGAAAAATAAAAAAACTAAATGCTGTAGGCCCACAGTTAAGATTATCCGAGATGGCTAGGAAGATTAATTATAAACAGAACAATATACTCATACCATTAAGGTATAACTTAGGCTTGCGTTTGTAATTTCACAGATTAGAAAATAGGCTTACCTGAGATACACCTGTCATGTGCCAATGAAATGAGAGGCACAGTGGCTTTTCCTATATAAATATTCTCCTGGGTATCGCTGTCATCGAACACGTAAAAACTCAGAGACTCTGACTTAAGGTATCGATCCAAATCCATGTTCATTGGCACTGGGTAGCACCTATGATCATCAAATTGTGGGTCATTGCTACTGGGAATGATGGCCGTATCGTGGTCGGTGAAGTCAAAAAACTTGTACATGACATAGGGGTGTGGCTGGAGGCGGCCTGCTCGGGGCCGCAGCTGGTTACAGCCCCGCACGGTAATGTGAAGTTCATTCAGGTTGCCGTCTCCGGAGTCAGCAGAACTGGGCTGAGCCGTTTTGGATGCTTGTTGACTCAACTGGAGAAACATAGATACTTATATTAATAATACAGTAAAAAGATAAACAGCAGCTGCCGATGCCCAAACAAAATAACTTTGTGAATGGACAAAAATCTGTGCATTTTCACTTCATAGTGAATTTCTCAGTTAGAGACTCCTCATTCTTATTCAAAACCAATAGTCACTGGAACATGTGTAAACAGATGATCCTATGCTAGTAGCAAAAAAAAAAAAAACCCACAGAAGACTGAACGTATATGTAAAGATTGCTGTTAAAACCAAATAAAACCAAGAGAAAGTTAATCTGATGTCCTTTAATTCTATTTAATAACTGAGTAAAGGGAGCAGATCCGGGCAAAGACCAATGTTCTCTAGTTCACGATCTCACTGAGAGTTAATCCTTCCACCATGCCAGCTATTTGGCTGTACCCCTTTCTTAAGTGGGAATCCAGTGAGTCTGATGGGCCCCACCTAGAGAGATAATTTTGTTCCATTTGGGTTGGCCCTCATCTTGAATCAATGGGGTTTGAGGAAGTAGACACCTGAGGGTAAAGACTGGCCAGTGTAGAACTGCAGTAAGAAGGAGAGAACAGAATCAGAGATAAACTTGGAGAGGATAAAAAGCTGGGATCGGGAACCCATTTCAGAAGAGAGAGGAGCAAAAGGACTGTTAGGCAGAGCTAGACACTACCCTGTGGCCCCTTGGCTCAGGCAGCCAGTGAGCGCACAGGCATTTCAGCAAACAGTTGTGCCGTCTGGTTGTTAGCTCCACCACAGCTGATGTGACGTGGGACAAAGACATGCTAGTGTTTCAGTGCCTGGCTCGCTTTGGAGTTGGGCTGTTCCCCACCTTCCAGAAAGGGACCCACTTTCACTGCGTTTCTGACCCTGGGTGGAGCACCTGGGACCTCCGCCTGTGGGGAAGTTTCCTGGAGAAGGAATACTAGAACAGGTCTGATCTCCTCCGGGGAGAGACCCCTGGCCCTGCGGAGAGGGGAATCTGAGAAGCAGCTCAGAGCACTGCTTCCCCAGGGCCAGTGCACTGGGCAGCAGAAGGCTGAGTCGGATGAAAAGTATCCCCTCCACATCTTTCCCAAGTCTACCCACAAAAGCCAAAATTCCCACAGTCAATGACCCATTCGAGCCAGAACCTGGCAGTCTAAACACCTTGAAACTACAAAACTAAATAAATAATCCGGTCCTTCTATTCCGAGTTCCCTTTTCCACTGCAGCGCTTCCCGAAGCGTGTTCTGAAGAACGGTGGTCCAGAAAGATGACCTCTGGGGAAGAGGTGCTGTGCTTTCCGAAGGTCAGGAATCTTAAGTGTTCTATCGGTCATGCTTCTTTGACAAAGTTACAGAAACTAATTCCATCTAGTAAATCTAACACAAAAGACTTTATTTTTTTAAAGACTTTATTTATTTATTTTTAGAGAGAGGGTAAGGGAAGGAGAGAAACGTCAGTGTGTGGTTGCCTCTCGCACACCCCCTACTGTGGACCTGGCCGGCAACCCAGGCACGTGCCCTGACTGGGAATCAAACCGAGACTCTTTGTTTGCAGGCTGCCACTCAATCCACTGAGCCACGCCAGCCAGGGGTAAGGGACTTAATAGAAGCTACAGGGCTAGTCCATAGAGCTGTTATAGGAGAAATGTAGTTGGGCCTTGTTAGGAAGGGGCTAGGACTGGAAAACCACCAGAATTTACTTTCCACCCACTTTCTGTTTTTTTTCTGCATACTTGCTCATGACTATGTGTCTCCAGACCCACTTGCTTTTCTTTGCTGGTTAACGTGGTAGGAACATTTTGCACATTCCAGGAATGGAGAGTCTTGCTTTCTCTTGATCCCAGACAGCAGAATCTGATTGGCTGAACTGGAGTTAGGTGGATCTTCCCGATTCATCAGTTGTAGCCGGGTGGTGAGTGGGAGAGAACAGGAGCATCAGACATAAAGCTTGCCCCTGGGGGCCCAGCCCTGTGGATCAGGAGTGAGGGCAGTTCCAAACACAAAAAGGTACTTAAGGCTTGATCAGACGTTCTGCAAGGTTTCTACGCTGTTCCATCCCTTTGTTACTCTGAGTAGCTGCATACCTTGTGGTTCCTCTTGAGAATCATGATATACACGGGAAGTCCGAAAGTCAAGGATTCTATCTAACTTTGCTTAATTCAGGGCTTTCTGCATCCACTGGATCATGGCATTTGTTCTTTTGAAAAAAAAAACAGCCTTTAAGACTCCAAGAAACATCATTTGGAAAATGCTACCTGGAGGACTTGCATTTAAACATCCAATTTTCAGTTAGGATCCTCACTTTGCCTTCTACTTTGCATTTCAAAAACCTAACATGAGGAAACAATTTGAAAGATCGACCGATGGCCCAATAATAGCTATGTATTTCCTTAACAGTAGGGAGTGTAACGTAGGCCCTTGGTGTGTGGTAACCGCACTGCGGTTCTATTTTTCAAAAGTGTCCTGGGAAGCACGAGGACAGGTTTCTGCATGGAAACAATTCTGCATCTCGATTGTGGCCGTGGTTACATGAACGCCTACATGTGATAAGACTGCACGGAGCTCTTCCTCCTCCCCTGCACATGTAAACGCTGATCAGATCTGCCTGAGGTCTGCAGCCCGGTCAACGGTACTGTGCACGCGTCCGTTTCCCGGTTTTGCTGCCGCACCAGACAGCTACGTGAGCTCTTACAACCGGACGAGCTGTGAGAGGGGTGCACGGGACTTCTCTGACTGCTTTTGCTACTTCCTGCAAGTCTATGATTATTTCAAAATAAAAAGTCAGAAAAAGCCACTTGGTGGCTATGAAAGAAAATAACTTTAGTTTAAAGCACAGCATATAAAGAATATTATAAAATTTTTGTGCCATAAAAGAGTCTTAAAGCCAAACAAGCTTACCCATGGTGTTTGCTCTGGCCCCTTAAAATTTGATGCTATATATCCCAAAGCCTTTGCCCGTTCCCGATAAAGTCGAATTGCTTGGTCCGCAGGAACTCTTAATTGGAGCCAGTATTCCACTGTGCCAAAATTTGGGATGTCTCCTTTAGTTCCTGCAAATCAATATATAACGTGCTGTTAAAATAGTCCCATAAATCAAAATATATACCCATAAAGAATACATCAATGGTACTATACATTAAAACTGTAAATGTTACACTGAGTAAAATAATATATGACGTCCACAAACGATGTGTGATTGGCAAATAACAGAGATGAAGAAAATAATGTTACTCTCCAAGTCTGAGTTGCACTGTATGTCAGGTATTATTTAAGAACTGTAAACTATGTTTGTAAGCTGTTCAATCCTTCTGAAATATAAAGAAAAACCTAAGTATTGAAAATCAAATACCCAGAGACTCTTTTTGATGCTGCTGTTTTTAAAACACAAGGTGCTCTCAGCGCAGTCTGACAGATACAAGACCTCAAAGTTATGAACATGATGTTCCACATTACAGTCAACTTAAAGGAAGCTCGGGCCTCTTCCCACTCCACCATGTCACAAGTAGCGGGAAAAAGGCCTGGGCCAGGCCACAGGCCCACCCCCGTGTCCCCCACCCTTGCGCGATGGCGCCCTGCACACACTCAGCGCGCATTCCAACTTGGGCCGCCCTTCGCCTCTGCCCCTTCACCTCTGCCCCTCTGTGAAGAGCCCTCTCTGCCTCCTGCACAGGACGGCAGGCCGTGTCCTCACCGGGCGCCTGACCTGCCTGCCCGCGCCGCCGTCTGCTTCCCCACCACGCCGTAAGTTTCCCGAGGTCAAGGGCTGTGGTCTCCCTGGATGTGTTCCCACCAGAGGGAGGGGGATGTTCAACCAGAGGGATGGTTGAAGAGGTAACACTCCATATAAAAACTTTCCTGAACATAACATATTAAAAATATTACCCCTAGTCTCTCTTACTTTTATCAGTTCATTGCTTGCCAACGGGTCATTCTCATCAACATGCAAACATGATTCAAATCTGCCATCATTTAAAAACTTGCCCTAAAATAAGAATATTAACACACACACGTGTTTGTATTGCATAAAATTTGGGGGGAAGAATCTGTAGCCTTCGGTGAGAAAACTCAAGGTATCCGGGGGACAGGGCTAGGAGACATTTTACAATGTAAACTTTTGTTTTTGAATCATGTGACTGTATTACCTATGCAATCAATTGCTCAATCAATAAAATAAAATCCCTCCCCAGCACCCAGGTCCCCCTCTTTCCTTCATGAAATGTTTTCTTCACCGGCATCTGGGCTGCTGGACACTCTGGGTTTGCCTCCTACCTCACTGGCCACTCCTGGCTCCTCCTCTTCATCCCTAACCCTAAATTTGGGGATTTCTAAGGCTCGATCCTTCACCATCTTTCCTTTCTTATGTGCATTCACTTTCCATGTGATACTGTCTAGGCTCAAGGCTTAACATATATTCTGTATGTTAATGACTCCCAGTCTCCTCTCCCGGTCCGTGACCTTCGGCCTAGGGTCTCCAACCAGGTCGGTGGCTTCCCCACTTTGCTGCCTTGCAGGCAGGTCAGTCTTAACTTGTTCAGACACAATTCAGTTCTGTTCCTTTCCCAGGCCCACCTCAATAAATCACCTCCCCACTCTCCTAGTTTCTCATGCCAGAAATTCTTGCCTCCTCCATTTCCCTCACTATTCTACATTCAATCAATTAGCAAGTCTCGAAGGAAGAGTGACTCAAACACACATTTACACCCACTTCTCACCGACACGTTCATCACCATCTCCCCAGACCAACGAGAGAGCTGCCTGACAACGGTCCTGTTCTCCCTCCCGGCCCACTTGGACTCTGCTTCCTATGGCGCCCAGGGGGCTTCTCCTAAAACCTGTGAGTGATCCCGTCCCTTTCCTCCTGGGCATCCTCCACTGATCTTCCTCATTCAGAGGGAAAAAAGTGAAATCCAAACTCTTCACCGTGATCTGCAAGGCTCTGGTCCTGGGGTGACCTGGCCCCGCCTTAGCTTAAACCTGGCCTGCGCTCCAGCCCCTGGCCTTCCTGCTACTCCTCCCTCAGGCCTCGAACTTGCTCCTCCCTCTGCCTACAACCCCCTTCCCTGGTCCTGGAGCGGCTCTTTACTCAGCCTTCACCAACGTCACCCCACGGGGAGGCCCTTCTCGGAATCAGCAGCCCTCCACCTCCCTCTTTGCCACCCGCCCTGACGATTTTTCGTCCTATGCGATGATACGTGTACATTTGTTTTATGGCCCGTCTTCCCCTCTAGAAGGTGAGCTGTACGAGGGCAGGCGCTCTGTCTCTCTTATTTACCATTTACCAGTACATTCCCGGTACTTACTAACAGTGATGACAAGATCCGCTCTCAAAAAAACACATTTGATGAATGCACTGCAATTAATGTTTAACAAGCAAGGATATCAATACTGTGGATAAACATTTGCACCTATAGGATTTTAAAGAACTAGCAGTCACTGCACTGACATCGCCAGGACATTCACAACAGTCCACGCACCTGTGGGCAGCTAATCAGAGAACGCGGCCCTTCCCCTGAAGGGACACCTTGAATCTGCAGAAGACGACACCAACCTGGAAGACCAAACCAGTATATAAACCAAACTGGTGATTCAGACCACCGAAGTTTACCAAACTGTACTCACCAACCAAACTTGCTGTGCAAAATATTCTACCGCTCTTTTCTAGAAGTTCGTGGAATCTCAACTGACACGCTGCGATTGTTTCATAGTCTGGTCCGTATGCTTGGTGCACCTCCAGAGTGACAGTGGTCCTCTGAATATAGTGCAGGAACAGGTCGTTGACATGCACGAGGTACCGAGAGGTCAAGTTGTATTCTGGGTGAAGGCCCCGCACGACTGGAGTCGTCTGCAGTTCAAAGTCATAGAAAGCATAGGTACAGAAAGTGACAGGCTCTTTGTCGCCGGATGCCTGTAAAACTTCAGAGGAAAAGGTCACTTTGTTGATGTGGATTTCAAGGAGGTTTTCGCCTCGTTCCAAGTGAATGGTTTCGTCGAATTCATCAACGGAGTCGTCTGGCGTGATTTCTGGTTTAAATTTGTACTGTTTGGTGCCGTAGGCAATGTCCTTTAGTTGGGCTGCAAGAGAAGACACGCAGTTCAGAGCCTTGAAAACACTGGCAGACGAGCATACAAACTGGGTTTTGAAGTTCTAGGAAGTCTTGGTGCTTTTGGTTAATAGCATCCATCTCAAATTCTATGACCACACAACTCTTCTCTAGATAATACTGTATCACACCGAAATTCACCATCTGTTTTACTATCACCTATTAAACAACAAAATTATAACTTAAGCTGTCACACAGGCCTGCCCATGGAAGAGGAAAAATGGCTTTTGAAGGAGCAGCTGAGGTCAGAGCCGGGGATGCACCTGCTCCTCCTCCTGTCACCTTCTCCCCTGCAGAGTCGGTTCCCCTTCCCAAGGCCCCTCCCTTCCACCCGCCAGAACACAGGGCGACTGACGCAGGCTGATGGCTGTGAGTACGCGGAACGCAGTTTAGCACCCTACTGTTTTCCATCTGAGCAACTGTAAACTCACCTTTATCCCACCCGGGATACACTTTCCTACTGGGTTTTGGGGGGTGAGGGATCTGTTTATCTTGATTACGGCGATGGTCTCACAGGTGTACACACATTGATCCATACTCACCAAATTGTATACTTTAAATTATGTGGTATAAAGTTGTTATTTACACTCCTCTAAAAAAGATACCATTTTTAAAAAGATCCAGCTCTTTCTAGACACACATTTCCCCCCAAGGTACAGCCAGATTTCCAGGAGAGTGACGTCTACTGTGTCCCCACCTCCGCATCCAGCAGACACCCTTCAGCCTCCTGCAAGCAGCATCTGCCTTCCTTTTCTCCTGAAACTACCCAAGAAAAGGTTGTCCAATTAACCGCTCTGTTGGGTAGACTTCGGTCCTGTCCTTACTGGATTCCTCTGCATCGCTGACACCAGTAACCACTTCTCAGGACCCCATCCCACCTCGGCTCCCAGTGGCAATCCTTCTGCTTCTCCTCCTGCCCCTCCTCTCGTTCCCGCAGGGCTTCTTTTTCTGCTAGTTTGCTGACGTTCTGTTTTTATCTTCCTCTTAGTCTATGTCTCTCATGGGTAAGTTCATCCTGTTACTATTATCTAATGGCTTGCTGAGCCCTCTATCCAGGTGTTCTCAGGCACATCAAACTCAATATATCCGAAAGAGAATGCTTCCATTGTGTTCTCTTCCAGTTATTTCCGTAATCCGCATCTCAAGTGATGGCAGGAGCCCTCACCAGGCTGCCTTAGGTGAGGCCCACAGTTGTTCTGGTTTCCTCTCCCCACACCCGTAGGGTCGTATCCAACACTGTTTCCTAAGTCTTTGCCCTGTCCTCTTGCCCTGTCCTCTCTGTCTCCACTGATGCTGCCTTACTTAACCTCTAGTGTTTACTTCCCAGGTTATTATAAACCCCCACTGCTTCCCTCCGTCCTATCTGACTTGTTCTTCCCAATCCCGAAGCAGAATAATGTCCACAATGCAGTCCTGGGCATGTTTCTGGAAAAATGCCTTAGCGGCTCTCCAGCTCAGTGAGCTTCCCACGCTTCAGGACGGCAGACCAGGCCTTCACCACGACTGCTCCCGGGTCCCCACTCGATGGGTCCGCACACGGTTTCCCAAAGGAACGACAGAGCTTCCCACGTGGGCCCTTCTTCCCGCCTCATCTCCTACCCAGACCGCCTTCTACAGCTCTTACTCAGTGGTGAGTCCTGCCATCTTTAAACACTCCCAGCCGAGGGTGCGGAGTCTTCCCTGAACCTTCGGGTAGAAACAGGCATTTATTCCTCAATTTTCCTCTGGTACCTTTCGCACATTCCTGGCTCCACGCTCTTCATAGAGAAGTCTATCTGTTTGTTCACACCTCCTGAGGTCCCCAAGGCCCGCGCCCGAGCTGTCCTCCCTGTCCTCCCTGTCTGTGTTCTCGCAGCCTAGCACTCTGCTCAGGACGCGTTAGGAGCTTGGGCACGTTTATGGGCTGAACCAATGAATGTAGGGAACAGATGAAATATACTGGCAAAGATGTACTACGACCTGAAAGAAAGGAAAATCCCAAACTCTGTGACCGTGTTATTCAGGAAGTTGCATGAAGCAAATTTTTATTGCGCACGACTTGAGACGAACGGTGCACACCGCCCTGCGACTTCTGGGAAACCCCGTCCAGTCGGAAAAAGATGCTCTTTGAGCCCTTCTGCCCAGGGCAGTGGTTCTCAAAGTGTGGCCTGGGAACCCCTGAGGGTCCCTGACACAGTTTGAAGGTTTGTGAAGTCAGAACTATTTAAAAAATAATCCTAAGATATTATTTGCTTTGTACATTTTTATTCTCTCAAGAGTGTGTAATGAAGTTTTCCAGAACCTACATGATATGTGATATCATAATGGGTTCAACACAGAAGCACATATAAAAACCCAGCTGTTTTCTATTAAGCCAGACATTAAAAAAATTGCAAAAATGTTAAACAATTTCAAAATTAACAAAAAAGCCCTGGCTGGTGTAGCTGAGTGGATTGAGCGCGGGCCTGTGAACCAAAGGGTCGAGGTTCAATTCCCAGTCAGGGCACATGCCTGGGTTGCAGACCAGGTCCCCAGCAGGGGGTGCACGAGAGGCAACCACACACGTTTCTCTCCCTCTCGCTCCTTCCCTTCCCCTCTCTCTAAAAATAAATAAACTCTTAAGAAAATTAAAGGGGCACTCTTCTCACTACTTTTTGGTATAGAAAGTTTTGCATTTTAAAACTACATGCTGTAATCTATGTTAACATGAATGGGTTTCTTATTATTTAACATGACTTGAAATATTTTAAAAATTTCTCACCTTTAACTCCTAATATAATATCGCAAGTGTAACCCAATAAACAAAAGGCCTCTGGGACCCTCAGTAATTTAGAAGTGTCAAATTGCTGCTGGCATGGATTGTTGAATCAAGCATCGTATGGCAAGGGACAGGAAAGAGAGGTAACGTACTTCCAACCGCAGAACTCACACTGCAGTCACAGAGTGTGCAAAGCCCCGACAGTGAAGAAATTGAGCACTGTACTCCCCGACACAATTTCCGAGTACCCGACAGGAAAAGCGCTCAGTGCCGAGACAGTATTTTTCAAATCGTGGTCTTGCACCTGCATCGGAGTTCCTTCGAGTTATTCATAAATGAATAGACTCGTGGGTCCCAGGGTCCCGGGAGGCCCCAGGAAGCTGCAAGCCCTCCCTGTAATCCTCATATTTGCTTGAGTTGGAAAACTGTTGCAAGGTCATTTCCAGTTGAGGAGTGGAAAGAAGTAATGGGAGCCAGCTTCTTGGCTCGGGCCTGCACTTGGATTTTGAAGCAGGGGAGGGTATATCTTGGAGTCAGGGGGAAAAGGTGGTCCCCGTGGAGGAGGTGCGGCCACGGGACTGAGCTAGAGGAGTGTGACAAAGAGCAGGCATGCTTGTTTGGCTAAGATGCACAGGTTCCTTAGAAGAGAAATTAGAAATGAGGTGGCACATTCAGTCTGAGATACTGTATGAAGTGCCGTGAAATCCTGTCTGCAAGCAGCACTGGATTCAAAAAGCCGTAGGGATGACTACATATTCCTGAGTAGAAAATACTCAGATCTTAACAGCCTCTCTGGAATTTTTATTACAGTTATAAACTGGGGGCGGGGTGGGGAAGGCATAAAGAAACAGAGAGTGCAGATTTGGACGAGACGGACAGTGCACTGCGCACACCGTACCTTCCAGTTTCTGGATGCGCGCCGCCCTGATGTCAAGAAGGTGAACGTACTGCTCCGCTCTGAGTTCGTAATCCTGCTGCAGATTCTCCGTCCTCTGGGTCAATGCCTCAACCTCCATCTAAAAAATGAGATAGGGTTCGGTACTTGTGATTCGTTCCATTTTTGTTTTTTAAAGTAAGAGGGATTCAAGCATTTCCTAGATCCTGCAGATACCGGGAGCTGGAAACCACTTTCCTGCCTTCAAGTAGCTTACAGTTTAGAAAACTGGTTTAGAATTGTTCATAGACTCATAAGTAACATCCACAAAATTCGGATTCCCTGGGCGGGGGCGGTCGTCCCCCTGGCGGAGGTTTGCGCGCACCGTGCTGGGGTGGGGCTCCAGGACCACTGCAGTCCGCCTGCAGAGGGCGCTGCGCCGGAGTTCACTGCCACCACCGCCTCTCAGATCCGGGCCCTTTCGTTCTAAGTACTCAGGTACGAGGCAAACTTCCAGGTATGTGGTAACGCAGGGTCACAGATTACAACAAGATCATACACGAGACTGCTTAAGAAAGTAAATCATCTGCAGAGCATCACAGGAAACTGACTCTCCCCACTCAGTGTATTACATTACCTGATAATCTTTATTAATTTTATGTTGCATAATTAGCATGTTCCTTGTCTTTTCAAGTTCTTGCACCGTTTCTGCATGAGTTGCTTGCAGCTCTCTCAGGGAGTGTTCTAGATCTTTATTAACTTTATTGTCCACTTTCTCTAAAAAGGAAAGGTCTCCATTTTTCTGTGATTTTTGAGCCTAAAACAAAACCATGTTTTATTATTGAAACAAGAGCCTCTGAAATGTAATCATGCAATTTACTATAGATACAGCAAGGAAAAATCATTAATTGAAAACAGATATATTTCCATTTTCCATCAGGAATAAAGTAGTCCTGCTACAGCAAATATATTTGGACAGACATTTGGAACAATTATAGAGAATTCAAAAAAACAGTTTATTACTTCATGACATAAAAAAGAAATCATGTACATTTATTTCTATTTCTGTGTCTTCATATGATTAAAATCTACACTGTGATGATCTCAAAGGAAATAAATGCATTTTCTCATGTCTTCCTGTAAACAACAGAATATCCTAGAACTGGAAAATATCTTCTGGTAACACTTAAAATTCAATCTTTGACTTAAAATGATAGTGTGTACCAAGATCTCTTAGGACAGAATGTTGTTTATTCATTTTATAGTAAGGCATATAAAAGCAAAATGTTTGTTACGGTTGGAGAAAGTCCTTTAAGCAAAAGATTCTGAGATCCGTGGTAATGTAATTTTGGTGTCATTATGAAATATGTAGATGCTGTAAGTATATGTCACCTGACCAGTTTCCTGAATAATTCATTCTCCACCTAAAAGGGTTACAGATAAGGGTCTTCATTATGCTGAAACAGTTATATGTAGACACGAAATTCACGATGAAGTTCAGAAAGTTACCTTTATAAGCAGAAGGGCTTCACTCAGCTCATCAGCATTAATGTCACTCTCCTGCAAAAGACGGAGTAAGCGGAAGTCACAATGAGATATTGATGGCAAGAATGAGAGATGCCCCAACGGTGCAGATTAGCCTCATGGGATGAACGTAGCTGCCTGACCCCAAGAATTAATATGTGAAGCAATATATTTGTATTCTTTTTCGTTCTAGTACAGCGTTCTCTCTGTGCGTAAAATATGTAGGTAAAAATACGGGGTTTATTTCGAGAGGAAGGAAATGGTTCACCTGGTTGTAAAACTTCACTCGGTTTTTAAGTTCATCAAGTTGTTGCTTTTGTTCGAGGGAGTGTAACTGCAGCTCTCTGTTTTCTTGAACCAGTTTCTCATTTTGCTCTTAAAAGTAAAGTCGACACAATCAGAAAGGCATGAGAGGATGCAGGATAAGAACACATTTTACATGAATATAGCTCCTGACGCACACACCCCACGCACTGTTCTGGTCAGAGAGGAAATTGAGCTCGCACTTCGGCGGAGGCGGCGGGGAAGGAGGAATGAACCGACCCTCCCATGTGTCCACCATATGATTCACTGCTTATCGAAAACTTAAGACGTGAGTTCGCAGTACTAATATAAGGAAATTGTGGCCTCTGGGACTTCAAAGGAACATTCTATCTAAAATACCTAAGAAAATATGTTTCTAAATCTACGATTTTTACTTACTTATTAAGGGTCCTGAAAGGCATGCAAAAAAAATTTTTTTTTATCTTTTAGTGTTTTGACTTCCTTGAATTTCCTTTTCCCAACTTAACAAAAAGGGTTTTTTTTTAATTCAAACAAGATAATTTCTCTGGTAATAGCTAAAGCCATAATTTTAATCAGCTATAATTCTAACAAATCCGTTAAGATAGAAATAGATTCTCAACCAGTGCGTGGCAGTATCAATAATAATTCATGTGGGTTGTTGATGAGCTCATGCTGTTAATGAGAAGCCACAGACCCCGAGGTTACAAAACCGGGGTGCGGGGTGTTCCCCAGGCCCACAAACAGGGGTTCAGAGTAGCGGTGTTAACGAAGACAGGAAATCCACAGAGAGACTAATTTTTCTCTCCCTGCATTAAACATGCTTTAAACTTGAAAAAAAGAACGCATAGTAGCTAGCCAACAAGTTTATTCTTTAGCCTCATGTGCTTAAGTGTCCTCTTCCCTCGAGTTCACTGTGGTGGTCAAAGTACCCCCGTCTGGCTCCCCAGTGGACTGACCCTAGACCATGTCATCAGAGCGTCCCCACTAATTTCAGCCACTCCCAGAGATTTATGTTTGTCCTACGCCCTCAATTCAAGTTCTACATTTTTTTGTTTCCTTTTCTTAAAAAAAAGTCAATACATTCTGCCAAGAATTCTTTACATGAGTACATTTGCACACTGACTGCTTTTTATACAAAAATATGTTTCTGACATTTAAAATGCTTTCTGTTGCCAAGCTAGAAATACTACATGTAAGTAAAGAAATGGTAAAACACAGTTAAGAAGAAGGGGAGTAAATCTGGGTATCTGTAATGTCACGTATTTCCTGGCAAACTAAAAAGTAAAACAAACCAACCTGTGAATCTAGGGTGTGCAGAGACATTTTAGAATCAAATATACAGATACCTTTCCTTACTGGTAAAAGGTTAAAGGTTATCCTAGAGGACAAATGGCTAACATTTAATGAACAAAATGGAAAAAAAAATATCATGTGGACAACACTTGGAAACTTTGAAGGTCAAGGTGAAATACTTGTCTTTAAACTAAAAATCAGGATTCATAATAAATATGAATTCTCATGAAATAAACTTGCTCTTTGTTTAGAGAGTAGAGGAAGAATGTGGAAAGCTTTCTTTGAAGTTTATTAGGTTAAAATGACCCCTAGATAGAACAGTTAGGTAACAAAAAGGAGGCGGCTGTGGTCAGAGGGTGTAAAAGCACAGGTCTTGAGGATAATACAATTTCCTTCTCCGGCCAGCAAAACTTCGAGGGACTCTGAGGGTGAACTGAGTGTAAGGGACAGACCTGCCCGAGCTCATTAGACAATTATTTCTATGCTCTAGTTACTCCGCTGTTTCAGTTCTTCAGAGCAGGGCCCCAAGAATGACATGCTAGTAAAAATAAATAAACTTATTCCGATGTTTCTTCTTTTACTCGTTTTTGTTTCAACAACTGTGTCCCCATATGTTCACTGACATTTTTAAACTATGGCATTATTAGTAAGTAAATAACTCAGTGGGAGAAGATATGACTGAGTATCGGTAACTTTCTATTGAATTTTATGTAGAAGTATTCACTATATTTTTCCCTTATTAAACTGTTTATTGGGAGACACTGTAGTTCAAAGAGGAAATAGACTTGCTGAATTATAATATGAAAAATCAAAGCGTCCTGTACAAGATGAAAAATAACCTCCTTTACCTTATCATTTGACAAAAAGCAGGTTAAACTAAACAGCATTTTATTCAAATGAGATAACATTTCACTCTTTTAAAATTATGTTCTTCAAGCACAGCAGTAATAAACAGAGTGCAGAGAACAATTCAACTAAACAATTTTCAGAACTCCTTTGTGCTAATATCTTCAGCTGTGATCAATATAACCATATGCATTATGCTGAATTATGCATTTCAGCTAAAGATAGAAAGGAGCTTTCAAAAGCAGGCCTTTAGACACATGCAGTTAATTTAAGCATTAACCAAATGCAAACGGCATTTACATATCCTTCCCCCACACATTTACACAATCTGAAACTAATTTGTACCTTGAATAAAGAGGTGAGTATTCTCTAAAAATAATTTGCCCGCGAGATGAATGACTTCAAGAAGCCAGGGAAACATCTTCTGGCAAAGAACAGTTGGTACATGAAAAGGTAAGTGTGTGAAGACACTTCAAAGTAAAATTAAATGGTTTCAAAATCTGTTATACAAAAAGGAACTTTCCAAATAGTAAAAGATTTCCTTAAATAGGCAGTGTCAATTTTTTGGTTTAGTGTTTCTTTGGAAAAAAAATAGTTAAAGGCTGCAATATTTTTCTTGTAATCTATTGTGACATTTTCATAAAAAACAAACCCTTAAATCATTAGGCCTATAAATTTCAGGTATTCAAGCAAAAAATAACTTAAGATAAGTGTGGCTTTACAAATAGAGATTTAGTTCCGGTAATTTTCTTTAGAAAAAAATGAATAAATGTACACAGATTTGTTTAGAAATTTTTGATGATACTTAAAAAACTAAAGCAATTAAAAAATTCACCAATGCAAGATTGTTAAACAATCGGTGATCTATCCTCACACTGAGAAACTATGATAACCACGACAGATCAGGAGGATGTCAATTTGGATGCATACTCAAGGAATTATTTCACAATATAGTAAATTAAAAAGCACGTTATAAAACTATCTATACATAGAGAAAAATCTGAAAGGACACACATAAATATTAATAGAGATGATCTTCAGCACTGTGAATTGAGTGATTTAAAAACATTTTTTTACAGGACTTTTGTTTTTTATGGTGCACCTGAGTTATTTTTATTATTGGGAAAATCCAAAAGAGACATAAGAACCAGTTTGTAAAAAAAGATGAGAAATTGACTAGTTGAAATAAAATAACTTGGCAATTGTAGATGTAATAATTTATCAGATGTCCATACATAAGAGTTTCAGAATTCTTAATATCTCCAGAAGTACAGAAAGCACAGAAATAAGAAAAGTTTACTTCATTTCTGTTTCCTTTAAGAATGAGACATTTATATGTTTTTGGAAGAGCACAATTTATGTTTTCTTCGGGAGCGGGAATTCACTGAGCAACTATTAAACCGGGCACTTTGCTAGGTAGTCAGTTCTGCAGCAGTAAAATCAGAAACTGTGTATCTTTCACATCAAAGCTTTAAATACCCACCTGGTCAGAAATCATGTCACCATTTTATTTTACTCACACTATTCTAGATAAATATTCATATAATTTTTCCTCAAATTTAATCACTTGCTAAATAGAAGTGTTTCATTGAAATTAAGACTATCAATCATAAAGTGTGTTCTGTTACAGCCTTCTTAAAATGTTAAAAAAAGTCAGACCATAATTTTAAATGTTATGATTTATAAAAGGCATCTCAATTTCAGAAATGTTAAAAATGGGGAAAAATCTTTCTTATAGTTAATGAAGTATGTCACTGTGATTTAAATCAACATATAGAATACTGACAAGATATTTTTTCTTTTTTTACTGAGCCTGCATTAAACTTTTAAATGGTCTCATAAAACAAAACTGCACATGTTCCAAAGAAGCAACCTTATTATCACATCACTTGGTTTACCTAGTGGATGAGCCACAGATAAAACATGTGAAGCAAATAATTCTGTTCCCCTGTTGTGCACTTGTGTGTAATATATGTGTGTGCAATACAGTGAATCAAACATGTACTGCAATTATGTTTACTTCTATGGGACAGGAAGGGTGAGACCTGTGCCTCGTAACATGAAACTTATTAACAATTATTATTCAGCAGGGACATCTGTTCTTTTTGTGGGGGTGGGGGCCTCATCAGTCCTTGTTTTTATTCACGATACAAAAAAAAAGAAATAAAAAGCAAACAAAAACACACCTGCCTCCTCCAGCATTCCAGTTCTATGCCCACCTCCCCCTCACACACGACTGAATTTTTACAGCAGGGACATCTTGACAAGGCTTCCTGGTATGGGGTGGTCACTGTCACAGTGAGGAATTAGATTTCCCACTATCAGCGGGCCCTTCCCTGCTGGACCCATCAAAAACGTCTGCCGCTCTGTCGCCTGGCACTGCTTGCATTCCCACTGTTCTTGCCTCTGCCAGACACCCAACCTACTTAATCACTGTTCTTCTCCCCTGCTGAACTTACGCAGCATGCGGGCAAGGCTTTCGTATCTGTATCCCCAGATACAGTTCTGGGACACTGCTGCATCCCCAGAACTAAGAACAGCGTCGAGCAAATAAACACTTGTTGACCGTCAAAGAAAGGCTCAAAGTTTAGGAAGACTATACAAATTAAAGACAACCTGCATAACCCGGAGGAAAAACAATCCCTTTGGCCAATAGGCGAGGATGAGTAAAAGAAAATTTTTGCAACCGCTAGTCCTTATGCGTGTGGACAGCTGCAGACACCGGCTGTGGCTCCCACCCACGGCAGGTGCTCGGTAGGTGCTATTCACCCACCGAGTCCGTGAACAGCAAGCAGCGCGTCAGGCACAGGTCTGAAAGGGGTAAGTCAGCAGTCAGGTCACAGGTACCTCTTTCGGTTTTTAACCGGTCAAGGATCTCAGTTTTGTCTGTTAGATCGGATTTTAAGGCCGTCTCGAGCTGAGCGATCTGCACCTTCAGCTGCTGTTCCTTTAACTTCCACTGCTCCTCAGGGGCGGGGCTGAAGGCACTGCAAAACACACGTGACATGCAAGGAGAGCTTGGAAGTCAGCTTGGACCGAAAATAATAAAGAGCAAAGCGTTTGGTGGCGCAGAGACCACTGTCATCATGTCTCAGGAATTAGGTAAACATGTGCTGGTCTGCTGCTGTTGAGACCGAGGCGCCTTTCTCAGGCTGCGGTTGGGGAACATGAAAGGCTGGTGGGATGAGCGGAGGAGCTGGCCTTAATTTAGAGCTCCAGAGTCAGAGCAGTTGGCAGCGTGCAGCGTTTGTGGGGCTGGCGGAGGAATTCAGACCCTGTGCGTGCTCCAGAGGAATCCGCGACTCCAAACCTCAGCGGTCACCGTTGGACCGGTCCCTCCCACGCACACGGCCTCTGCCTGCGGAGCAGGGGACCTGGTCTTTGACTCGGGGCTCTGAAGTGGTTAGAGAGTCTGTGATAATAACACAGCCACGAAAGCCTGGCCTCAGAGTGATAGCATATTGAATGACAAGGCCGCAATGCTGATAATAAGTTGCGATAAGGCAGTTTTTGTCCTAAAAAAACAATAAGCACCAGAACAAAGAGAACAAGTTTGACCGGCAACACATGACCAGGAGGAAAACCCAGTGAGAACACTCTGGTAAGAATTACCCCTCGATAAAAATGTAGCAGTTTAAACCCTTGTTGAAACCTACTACTGACCAAGATTGGAAGGACTTGGTGAAAAAGAACTGATAAACTGTATACAGGAGGTGCGCACACCCTGCATTCGTTTAGGCCAGTGGTGCCCCAATGCTGGCCTCTGCTAAATGCCAGTGACACCGGAGAACACTTGGGGAGATTCCACAATGAAGATCTCGGGGCCCAGCAATCCCTGTTTTTCTAAACCTCCCAGGTGATAGCCAGGTTTTGGAAGAACTGATCTTGATCTGTATTTCAGCAGAGAACTATTATCTGTGAGGCTTGATATGACTGAATAATTATCAGCAGCTTTGACCTTTCTACTTGTTGGAAACCCAGTAAATGAAACAAAAATGTATAAAATCTGGTTTTGTACTGATGATGAAGTAAATGTAAAAGAAACCTGTTATTGAAAATTGCCCTTTTTATGTTGCTCCCAGCTAGTCTTGAGGTTTGGGGTTTTTTTTTTCCTCCCCCAAAAGGGATACTTTTCTGGGAGGCATAACTTTGAAAAGAAAAAAAAAAACCTGTGCTTTCATTTTACATTTTGCATGTTTTTGCTGCATTTAAAATAACATGGCCTCAACAATGAATGAAACTCTAGTTTTTCTCAATGTGATGTCCGCTTCATCTACCGATGTTCTCCTTCCACATATGGAGCCTTAAAAAAATGCATGGATCCGATATGCCAATATTTTAAATTAATTTTTCAAAAGGTACAATTACCTAGACTTAAATGAGATCTAAATACAATACGTACTTTAAATACTAAAGAGCATTCCTTTACATTTTCCTTTTCAAATAAAAAACATATGATTTCTGTGTCTGGTCAAATTATGTCTACCAAACGCATACATATATATGCATGTGAGTTTATGTGTGTGTGTGTGTCTCATATTATTAAAAACATGTACTAGCCAGGAAAAAAATTAGCATGATGAAATAGGCACAACCGTGCATTATATCAGATGCCAGAAATTGGAAACAGTAGTGGTCCAATAGCATTAGTACCAGCAGAAAGATCACCGACAGTTAATCTGGCAGAAACATCAGAAGCTGTGTGTGTTTAAATTAAGAACAATTTAGCAGCCTGGTTTTTCCAAACCCACAAAATGCTAGTGTAAATCAGCATAAGTCAGTCTGAATTTAGTGCACGGCTATCTTCTCCCTGGATGGAGGGCTGCATTCCACTGGAGTTTCATGAGGAATTCCTTTTGAATTTACTGTGTTCCTCTCTGCTCGGAGCCATCTGTGTAACTATAAATGGGCAGCCACATCTGACTCCATTTTCTTTGTAAAGGCTGTGTACATGATTAAATCTGCATAAGAGAACAGGCTCTGAGAGCCTTTTATTCATGAAAATGTTTCTGTGCATTGCCTACAGTGACAACTGAGGGGACGACAGTTGGTCTTTGTGTGCGTTTCCCAGTCCCACTGTGTTGCAGGAGTGATCACGTGTCCATGTGCAGTGGCGGGCCCGCTGGTGCCGGTGCCCACGGGCATGTCCACTGCGGCCATGGGCCAGCGTGCGGTAAACACAGGCCCCTGATCAGCGACAGGAGACCGAAGTGGGAGCTGAAGAATTCATCTCTACCCTTGAGGAATTTTTCTCAGGGGAGAAATCCCACTTACTCCATGTTCAAGGGCACCCTAACGAGACAGGGAGGTGCAAGCTCTAAATCACCCCTGGAGAAATCCACAGGGACTTTAGTTCAGGCCTAATGGAAATGAAATGCGTATCTACATCAGGTGATTTCACTTGTTGAAGGAGAAACAAGGGCCCAAACAGCCTCATGTCCTGTCTGGGAAGCACCGGTCACATGAGCTTCTGTGACTCCTGCCGGGGGCAGGTGCTCACGTGTCGGTGGTGGGGCCCGGAGAGGCGGTGGGTGGCGAGCTCTGCCCCTGGCCATTGTGGGTGTTAGGTGACTGTCACGCTGTAAAAACTCCATTCACCCAAGTCTTAAAGAGGTTAATACCATCTTCAAAAACTAAACTCACTCTTTCTTTAACAACAGACATTAGAGTAGTGTCTCTGGGGAGTTAATATCGTCAGAGCACCTTCAGCAGGTTCTGTGGGTCTGACTACAAACTGACCAAATCCGAGCTGGACGGTGGCAGGTGAAGCGCCCTCAGAGGGGTGGTGGAACCCGCATTTTCTGTTCTCCAGGTTATTCGTGTACGTGATGGTTGAAGGACAGCTGCATTCATTCACTACATGACCCCAAAACTGTACTGACTGCAAAAATGGGACACAGCTTTCGCTACTTTATCGTATGGAGTTTCTCTCTAACCAAATATAAAGATTTAATTGCAAAAAATTTATTCTGAATTTTTAAATTGACCTTTTGTAAGGCTGCACTTATTTCTTGGCATTGCCTCAAGAATGTTTAGCATATTAGAAAAGACTCATACCAAATACTAGCATGAGGGTCTTATCTTACCAGATGATCGCTAATATGTCACATGTCAAGTAATAAACACATTCAAAATCTCATCTGAGCAAGGAAGATGAGAATGCAATCTGCAAGTCATATTTTTCTCCTGAAAACTGGCCAGTTTTGGATAACAAACAAATGCTCTCCTCCTAAGAACATGCTGTCGCTATGACAAACCCAACAGGGCGCATGGAGCTTTGGAGAGCACTAGCTGCTGGCGATGATGAGTAGCAGGGACACGCAAAGCGACAGCCGTACAGAGTCTCAGGAATGGTATTTGTAGCCTGTTGAGTTTCTGTTGGGCTTTGTAGTGTCTCCAACTTCTGAAAACATATTTAAAAAACGCATCGGAGAGTGTTACAGTTCTGTTTACTCTCCTGAGTGCTTGCGGGGCTCCGTGCGTGACGTGGTGTTTTGTGACATGAAGTGTTGTGACCCTCCTCACACACATTCACTGCCAGCTGCCCGACGCAGACTTGGGTGTGCGCAGCACAGTGAAGTCTGCAGAATGTAACAGAAAAAGTGCAGCTCGGGCATAAAGCATAAAAGAAAAAACACTCAAAGTTATATTTATACTCTTAGGTCACCACCTAATATGGGAAGATAAAGTTTCGTGGTGATAAAGTAAATATGAGAAAAAGATGTCTTTCTAAAAACTCCATTTATGAGTTATTCCCAGCTAAGCGTTTTATTCCAAAAGAGTATGTTCAGTAAATCCCCTAATTGGGGGGAAGTAGAAAATGTACAAGTAATGGCCAAATGGCAGTTATTTTCTTGTAGTAAGACTATGCGTTAAATTATTTGAAATTACAAGATGTTGAAGATAAAAATCAATAAAAATTTCGGAACGTATGACAGTTCTGTTATTCCATGAATGTTTCCCTTTTGAATGCATGACTTTCCAGGCCAATTACAGTCAGAGAGAGAGTGAAGCACAGGGGGGAAAAATCAAGTTTTAGGATCAGAAGAATTAGGTGGAAATCGTGCGTGAGAGTCTCAGCCACGCTGTTCTTGAGTCTCAGCTCCCTCATTTATAAAACAGGAGGGTAACATCTGCCCCAACATATAATATGATGGATGTGCAATCGGTGTCATGAAATTTGAATTTTTCAAGCACACAACTACAATGTCCTAAATACTTAGGACATATCAACATAAACCTGTGTTGCTTTATAGAGATGGAAATACAAACCAAGAGGTACGATAAGTGCTTCAGGTAAAATTAACCAGGCCAATGAGGGGACCGGCACACACCACCGAGGCCAAAGGCGCACAAGGGGGCTGCAGTCAGATCCCACAGAGAGGCTGCTGGCCAGTGGCTCCTTGCTGGGGAACCCCAGACACCCCCTGAGCCGTGGCCTGAACCTGCCACTTGTAGCCCTCACTGTATTGAGCCCCTGAGCAGACAGACATCAGCTTCCATCGGTAAGTGACACGGGTAACGCACGCCACTGGAATGATGCCTAACATTAATTTATTTTCAAAGTAAAAATGAGTAACGACCTATCACTATACTCTTTAGGTATGATTTGTTTAATTGAAAAATATAAATTTAGTTTACAAAACATAAACTGTACAGATACAAAGTTAAAGATATATCTGTAGATAAGATGACTACTTTCTGATGGATCAATGGAAGCAACTGTTGTATCGGCTCTAACAGATATCCTTCAGTATACAGCAAACGTGCTTTCCTATAAACGTGTATTCATCGTTTATCGGCATCATGTCCGAAACACACACAGACAGCTGTACCACTTAACTAAACTTAGCTGTGCAGCAGAAGTCTCTAACAGTAGAAGGGATTAAGTTTTTAAACACCTTGATAATAAACCAGATAAACAATAAAACTGGGACAACTCCTTAAATGTATCCTGAGATAAAGATGCTTGTGCTTCTCTTTACAGGGAAGAGAGACACTAAGAAGTTAACACCTTTGCCTCCGCCAGAGACTGCTGGTAAGAATTCTTACGGGCTGGGCAGCCCAGTGGAAGGGAGCAAGGGCGTGGCAGGTTCAAATGCAAGCTCTACTACATCACAGCCGTAAGAAGCTGGGCAAGCTACTTAACTGTCTCATTTTTGTTATCTGCAAAATGGGCATGTACAATGCTTACACTTCCAGGCTGTTGGAAGTTAAATAATGTGTACAGACTGTTCAGTACAGTACCCACTGGCTTTGGTCTGTGTTCAATAATAGCAATAGTTGTTACTAGGAACAGTGATAGGGTTTTCTCGGTAACAGATTACCGCTCAGGTTAAAAAACTTATTGCCAATGCCCCAAAAGGCTCATTTTCTTTTATAATATATATAAACATATATGCCACAACATCTATTTCTTGCATTCCTCTGTAGCTAATTCTTTAATAAATAGTAGATGCTCTGACACCCAATGCTTTGATAGAAAAGATCTCAAGGCAAGAGAATGAGAGAAGACATGGAATCGGATTTACCTGTTATAGAGTTTATCATAGTTTTCCTTTAAAAGTTCCCGCTCCTTTTCTAAATCATTAATTCTATCTTGCAGCTGAAATGAAAACGACACATTAGGTGATTATCACATAGAATCACATGGGTTAAAAGCACGCGAGAGGAGGCTGGCATGTTTCGGTCTTACGTTCTCAATGGCAGCTGCTGACTAGTCCACTTATATTGTCTGCATTTAATTTAGTGCTGATTTTCCCCCAGCTGTTAAGTAAACATGAAATCAATGTATCTGTTTTAATTTAGTAGAAACGTACGCACTGCTTTACAGCAGCCTGTGCCAAAACTCAATAAAGAATGTGTTAAAGCTTGCTGTTGAGTCTGGGGACACATAATATTTTTTTCTTTCCCCCCAATCAATTTCATCATTATATTCATTTTGCATCAATTTCCAATGGGCCCATTAAAAAGAAAAAAGGATTCACTTTACTTTTATTTACGGTTCACAGAAACTTGGTCAAACGCTATTTACTCCGAAGACGTCATTTCTCACGTCACCTGCAGTTCACCAAGAGCCAGCAGCACATCTTTTAAATATATGAGTGAAAAAATAAAACTGTATACGTTGTTATATCCCAAGGAATAGTTTCAGAAGTTAACTTGGGGTAATAATTGTCTTTATGACTAAAACGTAGCTTGCTGTATTTAAGTTTTATTCAGCGGCATATTTTGTAGTTACAACCTCTTCCCACGGATCAGAGTCCTTTTAAAATTCATTTCCGTTCTCAAAGTTCTCTTTTGGTGCTGGCATGAGACCTAGTAAAAGATTCTCCCAAGATGAGAACAGAATGTAGGCATCTTATTTCACCTCTCTCTCTTGGAGAGCGAGTTTCACGGACTACAGACAGAGGCTGCACAAGCTCTGTGCGAGTAGCAGAAATAATAGGGAGATGAGTTTTCAGACAAATTCTTAGGAAAAGAAAATGATTTCACAAAATTGCTCATGTTGCAAAATACAACATCCTTTTCCTCACGACAAATAAATTCCTATAACTTCGTGTTGGCATTGCAAATGACTAATTAACTATAAAAATTGAGAAAGTTAAGTTCCACAGGTCATTTGGCATCTGTTTCAAAATGTTTTCTTTTTCCTCAAAGATCCTTCATTCTTATGTAAACAATGGCTATGGCTCTTGGTACATTTGCAAGTAGTTAAAAAAATTTTTTTTAATTTTACGAATTTTTAAGTTTATTGATTTGAGAGAGCGAGCGAGCGAGAGAAACACTGATTTGTTGTTCCACTTATTTATGCTTCACTGGCTGACTCGTCTGTGTGCTCTGCCCAGGAATTGATCCCACTACCTCGGCGCATCCGGACAACACTGTAGCCAACTGAGCGAATGGACAGGGGCCACTTGCAGGTGTCCGGGCACTGCTTTGCTATCCACGTGACATGCTGACCACACTGTGCTGTGCTCAGTGTGCTGTGTGAGTAGCTTAGGGTTTTTCAATACGTATAGTATCTGAAATGTCTCCACCTTTGCAAAACGGTGCCCGAGAAGCTGCGACGCAGCGGATGCTGCGCACCCTGGGACTCACCTCCTCCGCCCTCCTCTCGGAGAATGTGACGGCCCGCAGCTGCTTCTCCAGGCCGTGGCACTTGGCGCGCTGCTCCTTCAGCTGCTTGGTTAGCTCCTCTCCGTTCGCCATCAAGGCATCGTGGCTGATCCTGAGAGTTTTTTGCTTCTAAAAACCAAAAAAAAAAAAAAATCTTTTCAAAATTATGTTTGGATTCTGATCTGAAAACAACTCCATAAATAAATTTACCCCTCAAGTTCATGTTACACAGTTTGCTCTTCACCTCACAAACGTCTGCAGCACTTGACACAGACCCTCCCAGCCGAGGTGTCTTCAGGGAGGAAATGCAGGGCCAGCTGGGCACAGGGTCAAGTGACGCAAACTGTTCTTGCTCTTTTTACAATTTCTGCCTAGTGTTTCACCTGTTGACAGTGACCAGTGAGTGACTTAGCTCTAACGACCAATTTTTCCTCCTCTTGCTGTGACCAGAGGGGTTGGATCCGTGTCCAGCGAGGCTGCTCCCGGGGGCAGAGGTCAGGGCCGACCATGGGTGGTGAGACGGAAGCCACGCGCCGCCACAGCAGACTGGCGGCCTCGGGAAGGCGGCTTCTAGTTTCAATTAAGCTAAAATTTTCAATTCAGTACAACAGTTTCCGAAGTCTTCTCAATTTTTAGAGTGTCTACGGATATTTTAAACTCAATCTTATATACTTAAATGCCACAACTTTTATAAATAAGAAAGGTGATTATGTTAAAGTCTTTTCAAAGACCCCACGACCATGCCATGCATGCCTCACCTGCTAATTAAAATCACCTACAGCCTTGGCTGGTGTAGCTCAGTGGATTGAGCGCGGGCCCACGAACCAGACAATCGAGGTTCGATTCCCAGTCAGGGCACATGCCTGGGTTGCAGGCCCATTCCCTGCAGGCCAGTTCCCAGAAGGGGATGCACGAAAGGCAACCATACATTGATGTTTCTCTCCCTCTCTCCTTCCCTTCCCCTCTAAAGATAAATAAAATCTTAAAAAAAAATAAAATAAAATCACCTACGTTCTACTGAGTTTCTTCAGTCATTTAAAAGAAACATGTACTGAACTATTCGAGTCCAATTTTTGTTAAACTTGGTGTTATTATAAAACGCCTTCCTAACTCACTGAGGCTGTTGGTCTGAACCTCTGGATTCTCTACCCAATGCCACTCCCCAAACCTGTGCCACAGCTGACACTTGTGAGTGCTGGTATTTCAACAAATTCCTGGCACTGCTGTGAAACGGTGACCAAAACAGTCAGTTGTAAAAGAAGAAATCACTTTTCAAGTCCTCTCTTAATTCCTCATTGTAGGTGAGGTTTTCAGCTACGTGTGTATTCAGTCCCCCTCTTCTTCCAACACAGAGACAGCAGGCCATCATTCCGTTCCAATGGCTCTCCCCGCTTTCATAAACTCTCCTGCTCATAGAGGAGGTAGGTGTACGACTTAACACCGAATTCAGGCTGCAGGTGACCCTATGCTTCACATCGATTTACTGCTTTCCCAGAACTTCTGAGAAAGCACAGCGTCTCCCCTCGACTGTGGGGGACACGTTCCAATACCTCGGTGCACGCTGAAATCACAGACTGCCAAACCCGAGATATACTACGTTTTTTCCCTGTAGACACATACCTGTGATAAACTGTAAATTATAAACTAGGTACAGTTAAATATTATCAACAGTAATGAGCAACACAGTAGAACAATGATAGTAGTGTACTATAATAAAAGTTATGTGACTATGGTCTCTATCTTCCTCTCTGTAACCAAGACGGCTCCTAAGTGACTGGGAGGCAGGCGACAAATATGGCATGGATACACTGGACAAAGGGATGATTCAGAGGTGGACAGCCCCAAATTTCATCATGCTACTCAGAACGGAATGCAATTCAAAACTTAGGATTGGCTTATTTCTGGATTTCCCATTTAGTATTTCCAGACTGTGGCTTGCTGTGGATAGCCAAAACCGCGGAAACTGAGTGCAGCTAGTAGGGCCACAGAGCTGCTTAACACAGGCGCTGCTCGTGCGGAATCTTTTGGGCTCGTTAGTCCTGGAACCTGTAGTGAACTGCGCAGCACTGGCGAAGCCCCCGAGGGCGCGTCCCTGGGCGGCCACTGCCCTGTGGGGCCACTGCCCTGTGCGGCCAGCAACGGGGTGACGAGCTCCAAGCGCCATCGACCTGAGTTGTCCAGGTGTAAAATAAACGCAAGGAGAGTCGGCATGATGGACCCCCAGATATGTTAGTGGCAAAACAAAGCAAAACACCACATCAAGGAAAGACTGAACAAAACCTGATTATTAGCCTATTCATAACCTTAGTCCTTCTTGGATATTTCGTAAATGCTTAGAACTGAAGATATGTGCAAATGCCTCTGAACTGCCAGTGCTCTGTGCCCACAGAGTTAAAAATACATTTTCTTAACATGAGATGCTGTACGATAAATGTGTTTATCATTTTAAGATGACACATATTTATAAAAAGTCCAGCCACTTGGGCATTTCTGTAAGTATTAAATTATAAATAACAGATAACATATAAAGTGAAATTATATAAAATTGGGAATAAAAATCATAATCTTTACTTTTTAGTTTTATGACCATTATATTTAAAAATATACAACTTGAACACTATTTTGGACATCTGTATGCATGAATCACCATAATAAAATAAATTATCACAGTACCTCCTGAAGCTGGATAAATTTTCCTTCCATTACCGAAAGAGCATTGCTTTTCTCCACTAGTTGCTTATGAAGCTTAATCATTTCTACATTGTCTCGAATGTTTGACCTTTAATGACATGTTTAAGAAAAAGAGAGATAGTAAAAAATACAAGGAAAAAGTAAAAATATCTGTCATGAAATCACAATTTTTCATGGAATGTTACCTAAAGAAAAAAATTATACACTTGCAGATCAGTCACCAAGATTTTCAGTTTATTACATACTCAGGATTAGATAATTTAAAAACCAAGTAATAACCACTTTGAACTTTATAAACCCAAAGGCTCTCAGGACCTGAAGGAAGCCCCTGTGATGACCTGTGTCACCCGTACAGTGACTGACAACACGGACTTCGTGTCACTACGCAGTGTCCTGAAAGACAGTGCAGGGGACATGAATCTCGAGCCCAGAAGTGGCCCCGCCACCAGACCTGGGGTCACCACACGAGCCTCCCTCTGCGAGAAGCACGCAGCACCGCCCGCCACTCGTCTCTCTCCGCCGCGCCCTCGAAACAAACGGTATCACAAGATCACCATTTGCTGGCGTTTCCTCCTGGAGTTTGAACTTTTCAAAAATTTTCTAAAAAAAGTGACTTACCATTTTATACTAATAATGCCCAAAGCTGGCATTTAAATGTGTTGCAGATGTCCCTGGGGCTGTAAGGGATCGTTTAACGTCCACGGGGTGTGCAGAAACTCTATACGCTGCAATACCAGTTCGCATTTTTCCCACCGAGATTAAAGCAAATGTGGACTTTAACAGGGAGATCTTATTAAAGGTTAATCACAGATCTAAATGAATACCTGTTTGCAACAGGCATTTATTTTCCCGACAGAGAAATCGAGTTCCCTGATTTAATACGCTGTACATTCAAAAGTATCTTTGAAAATGGGAAGCTCGGTTTTAGGCTTTATACTTTAAGGAAAATAAACATACACATTTTAAATTCAGCAAACTTTCTCCGTATTGAAGGTAAGTAGTTCTGCTTCCCGGACCTATCTGCTGCACACATCTTGGACAAATTGTCACACGGCCCTACTGGAATCAGCAAATGGACTACAAAGCTCACACATGTGTAAACCAGCTGAGGACCTGAAACACTTACTTTCCCTCTTTGATATTTGGAAGTTCACTGCATTCTGGCATGGGACAGTCGGCTGTCCTCACACAGAAGATAAACAAGTCCAGGAACCTGGATCTTGCCCAGGGCACAGCCTTAACACAGTGTTACAATAACTGTGTGTCTAAAACATATTATCTCGTGGTTCTGGGCCCACCCTCAACAGCGCCTCACTAAGACAGAAACTGTATCTCTACTCACTAACGACAGTATCACCCCTACTGTCTTTACTCACTAAAGAGAATACTATCTTCACTAAAAAAGTGTAATATGGAGGAAAAAATATAGGTCTAAAGAAAATAATACATTTTTTCCACATTTAAAAGTCAAAATGTGATTTATCTGTTTTCCCGCAAACTACCTGGTTTGGCCACCCAACAGCGAGTGACATTCACTGACCTGGAAGAACAGAACGGTGTTCAAATAATTTCAGACCTTTCCTTCTATTTTCAGTTCCTGATATTTCATTTTTCTTATTTCTGAGTATGTTCAATATTTTCAAGAAGATATATAGAGTGGGGAAAATGAAGTTTACGTTTGTGTGGAAAGCAATACAGTAATTGATGAATAATAATACAGGAATAAACCCTGTGTTTCATGTAGTCACACTGAACATCCACTTTTGCCCCACACTGTGTATGTCAAGCACATTTAAATAACAACTATTGTTTAATGATGCTAACACCAGAGACCGAAGCCCCAATTACCCACTACGCCACATAGGGTCTCAGAAACAACAGATTCTAATTTTGAATTTTCTTTGTATGGCAAAGGCCAGTAAGTGTCTCAGAAACTTTTAGTGGCTTAATTGGTGGACGTTTTCTTGAATATCTTCCAAAACCGTTTGGGGTTTAGACTTTTCGAAGTACTGCCGAGAAAAGCAATGGGACATTTCATACTAACAGTGCCCCTGCAGTGGGCGCGAGCCTCAGCGTAAGAGGCTTCTGAAGCCAGCAACAGTCGTGTGGCGCTTCACGACGCCGGTCCGCTGGTGAGGGCACCTGTGCAGGGGCCGCAGGAAGCACCTGTGGGTCACTACCAGCTGTGCTGAAGGGTGGGTCTGGGGGCTGTCCAGGGGACAGCCATCACTGCGATCGGACGTGGGTGCGCGCTGGCTCCCACGAGGCTGCCACCGTCCATCCGACAGTGCTGGGCCAGTGGTGCAGAGGACGGCAGAGGTGAAAGCCACCTTGTGATGGCTGCGGGCTGGCTTTGGGAGGACCTACAGTGAAGAGGCATCTCCAACCTATCACCAGCAGAACATGTTTACAGAGACAAGATGCGGTGAAAAGAATGCAGTGGCAGCGGGAGACGAGACAAAGGCCAGTCCACACAAAGCTGACAAGGGACATGAGAAGGGTGCTGCGTGCGGGTAGGAGGGAGCGGGAGTCCCCGGCTGCCGAGTGCCCTCTGTCCTCGACTCCTGTGCCCGCAGAGGCAGGCCTTGGGCTGCTCTCCTCTGAAGAGAGGAGACAGGCTAGGTGAATGACAAGGGGCTAAGTGACCGCCGCATTCCACACACAGTGACGGGAGCGTCGTAGCCTATCTCCAGGAGGATGACATTCCAACAGCAGGCATGACGCAGAGCCGTGGCTGCTGGGGCTCAGCGGGTAGGGCATCGCTCTGCAAACAGGAGAGTCACTGGTCGGGGTGCGTAGGGGGACAACTTATCAATGTTCCTCTCGCACATCGCTATTCCTCTCCCTCTTCCTCTCCCTCCCTTCCCCTCTAATAAATAAATAAAATCTTAAAAAAAGAAAGAATGCAGAGTAAAAACGTTCGGATGAACTCTGACAGCCATGTACCAATGGATACACGCTGCATTACACATGGTGAAAAGATCTGCACACAGGTATCAGGCATATCAATTACATTCTTCGTAAAAATAAACTTCTCAACAAGGATTTTGGGAAAAATATGAATATTGAGTTGGAAAATGGTTTCATTTCTTCCTTTTTCTTTTTAACAGACCTATTATTTAGAATTACGATAAAATCTTCTCAAACTCTGAAAAGACTTGTTGGCCCATCTCAAGATTAAAAACAAACTAAAATAAATTAGATTTTATGTTGAAAAAGTCACACAGCTCAACAACCTGTGTGCCAAGTTTCTCTCGTTAATTTGAAACAGTCAAGCAGGAAGCTCTGAAGAAGGGATTCCTAACGGGAGCCCTGAAAACACCTGCTTCCAGCTTTGCTACCGGGCGCCCTAACAGATCCAGGAGCACCCAGCCTTCCATTCGCTGGGGAAGGGGGACGTTCGGACGCACGAGGTAATGTACGGTCCACTACGAAATCCTAAGGAGAAAAAGAGTCTTCGCTTTGGTGCGTTTCTTACACTTCATTTCCCAGGTACACAACTCCCAAAGACGGTTCCTTGTTTGCTACAGTAAGAATGGTGAATGCTAAAAGATCCCCTTGACTTTTTAAAAATATTTTACTGATTATGCTATTACAATAGTCCCATTTCCCCTTTATTTCCCTGCTCCCTGCACCTCCCCACCTGCATTCCCCCCTCCGCTTAGTTCACATCCATGGGTTGTACATGTAAGTTCTTTGGCTTCTACATTTTCTATATGATTATTAACCTCCCCGTCTGTTTTGTAGCTACCAATTATACGACTTATTCCCTGTACCTTTTGTCCCATTCTCTCCCCTCCCCCTCCCCACTGATAACCCTCCATTTGATCTCCATTTCTGTGAATCTGTTCCTGTTCTAGTTATTTGCTTAGGTTTTTTTTGGTTTTCTATTTTTTTTAGGTTCGGTTGTTGATGATTGTGAGTTTGTTGTCATTTTGCTGTTCATACTTTTGATAATCTTTTTCTAAGACCCTTTAATATTTCATATTATAAGGGCTTGGTGATGAACTCCTTTAACTTGACCTGAACTCCTTAACTTGACCTTGATGAACTCCTTAACTTGAATTTATCTGCCCTTTCGTTCTAAATGAAAGCTTTGCTGGATAGAGCAATCTTGGTTGTAGGTCTTTGGTTTTCATGACTTGGAATACCTCTTTCCAGCCCCTTCTTGCCTGTAAGGTTTCTTTTGAGAAATCAGCTGACGGTCTGATGGGAACTCCTTTGTAGGTAGCATGCTCCTTCTCTTTAATCTTGGGTAGTGTAATTATGATGTGCCTTAGTGTGTGCTTCCTTGGGTTCAACTTCTTTGGGACTCTCTGAGCTTCCCGGACTTCCTGGAAGTCTATTTCCTTAGCCAATTTGGGGAAGTTCTCTATTATTTTTTCAAATAAGTTTTCAATTTCTTGCTCTTCCTTGTCTCTTTCTGGTACCCCTATGATTCGAATGTTGGAGCTTTTAAAGTTGTCCCGGAGGTTCTTAAGCCTCTCATTTTTTTTTTGAATTCTCGTTTCTTCATTCTTTCCTGGTTGAATGTTTTTTTCTTCCTTCTGGTCCAAAACATTGATTTGAGTATGGTTTCCTTCCCTTCACTGTTGGTTCCCTTTATTTCACTTAGCACAGCCTTCCCTTCTTCCTATTTTGCAACCACACTCAACCGATTCTGTCAGCATCCTGATCATCAGTGTTTTGACCTGTGCATCTGATACACTGGCTATCTGTTCATTACTTTGTTGTGTTCTTTCTGGAGCTTTAATCTGTTCTTTCATTTGGGCCACGTTTTTTTTTTTTTTTTTTTTTGTCTGGGTGCACCTATTACATGGTACAGGGGTGGAGCCTTAGGTGTTCACTGGGGCGGGCAACCCACGTGGCTGCGTTGTGACGCTGTATGTGGGGGAGGGTCCTGGAGGGAACAGTGCTGCTTGCTGGGCTCTCAGCTGGCTTTCAGTCACTTTCCTCACTTCTCACAAGCCAACTGGACCCTTCTGGTGCTGGTTCCCAGGTGGGTGGGCTTGTGTACGTTCTAGGACCCCATGGTCTCTCCAACAAGCTCTCCTGTGAGGCTGAGAGTTTCTCCTGCCCCCTCAACCC